AATCGTAAAGAAGGAGTCAGTGCACTAAAAAACAGGATGGCACGGTAGTGGTATCAGACTCTGATAAGGCCGAAATGCTGGCCGAGATTTTTGAAAAAGCTTATGCTAAACAACACGTAAACATCGGTCCTGTCCATGGTAGCATCCCTCATATGGACTTCATATGGGCTGTTTGGTTCAGCCGTCATGAAATTCTTGAAAACATTTCTAAGTGGCGCAACTCTTCTTCTGCTACCCCAGATGGTATTCCATTTCTTTTCATTAAGAAAATAGCTGATGTCATTGCATCACCACTTGAATTGCTTTTCAATTTAATGTTTTTCCAAGCTGTCGTTCCACGTAGTTGGCGGCATGCTTACGTTATTCCAATCAGGAAAAAACCTCCACACTGTGATCCCAACAATTACAGGCCTGTTAGTATAACGTCGGTGTTTTGCAGACTTTTAAAAATACTCAAGAAAGTCATCGTTGGTCACATAGCATCTAATCATGTTCTGTCTGACCACCAACATGGGTTCAGAGCAAAAAATCCACAGTAACACTCATGTTGGAAGCAATGAATGATTGGACAACAGCATTGGATGCTAAGAAAAGTGTAGACGTAATTTACTTTGACTTCCAAAAAGCTTTTGACAAAGACTCCCATCCTATAATTACATAAGCTTATGCAAATCGGAGTTCATGATAGAATAATTAAGTGGATAGAAGTATTTCTCACTGATCGTACCTTTCAAGTGTTGGTAAATGACTACGCTTCTAAGGTCAGACATGCTATCAGTGGGGTTCCCCAAGGGAGTGTCTTTTCCCCATTTTATTTATGTTTATACCTATGACTTACCAGCTTTGATAAAAAACCTGGGTGTTGGCATAAAAATGCTTGCGGATGATCTAAAAATTTATAGTATCATGAGGGACTCCGCAGATCCTCAACTCCAGAAAGCAATTGATGCTGTCGTGGACTGGTCTAATGCCAACATGCTTCCTTTAAGTGCTGGTAAAACTAAGGTTCTTCATTTGGGAAGATCCAATCCAGTCACGCATTACTACATTAACCAAATGGCTCTTGATGAGGTCGAATCAGTAAGAGACTTAGGCTTTCTTGTGGATGCAAAATTGACTTTTGAAAAACACTAACAGATTTAGTCAATAAGGCTATGCAAAGAGTATTTCTGCTTTTCAAATCTCTCAAGTCCAGGAACCTTATGTTGCTCATTAGGGCTTACAAAATTTAGGTGAGATCTATTCTTGGAGTGTGGTACATGTGTCTATTTCTCCCACAAGAGAAAGTTTATTGACAAGTTGGAAAGGATTCAGCATAACTTTACCAGGGAATTGTTTATTAGAGCTCTTGGTTTCACTTACAAAAGCATCCCACGGGGTCTAATCAGAAATAATATTCTTAATTTGGATCCAATACACTTAAGACTACGGCGTAATGACTTACTTATGGTTTATAATATTTTGAATGGATTTGTTGACGTAGACCGCAACTCCTTTTTTCGAACTCGTATCTTCTAAAGTTAAAGGGGTTCAAGCTTTCTTTTCGCAGGCCTCGTTCTCTGACAGGGCGCAAGTTCTTTACGTTTCGTGCGGGCACGGAGTACTCGAGGATGAGCAAGCAAATGCGATTTTCGGTTTCTTTCTATAAATTCAAAAAGATGGTTGTTCAGTATCTTCGCGGTGTTAAATAGTGTTGTCAAGGGTTTAAATTGATGATTCATGTGCTTGTTGTAATCTTATATCAGTTGTAAGTCACATGTCACTGAGCATGTAATAAATTAAATTTAAATATTTGAGACACTAGTGCATAAAAATGATGAACTAGATGTTGTGGAAAAAGATTATCCTGTTGAGAGAAAGTCTTAGAGGGAGAGCTAGATCAGCTATCCAAGGAATTCAGCCTTTACCACAAGAACTATGACTGGATAATCAAGACCCTGAAGGAGACCTACTGCGATTATTCAGTAAATAGATCTCAAGTTCAAAAACTCGTAAGTATGAAAGGAGCGAACAATTTTGCAGACAGCTGCTCCGCAGTTTTGGCACAAATCCAAGTTCTAGTTAACCAAATGGTTTCTGCAGGCTACGATGTTAGAAAAACCTGTGATCCTATATGGTGCAAAACCTATTCTGTCCAAGTTTCCAAGAAACATTGTCAAGCCTGTCCTCATATCTGGCCAAGCAATGCCACAACAAACAATCGAAAACCTCATGGGTCAACTGAAGAAAGAGGTTGCCGCAAAGAGCTACGTCGATAACAGACTTGGCCAGGCAATCGAGCCCAGATACGACCACGCAATCAAAACAAGGTCAACACTCAAAGGGAGATCAATCCACGACCCATTAACACGTTGGCGACATGCGTCGCAATGGTGGGATGCAGCACAAGAAATTCTTTTTATGAGCAGTTTGAGAATCCGCTTATAGCAAATTTTGATTAATATGCACAGAGGTATCTAGAGTGAACATGGTCCGCTCACATCTTTGGGCTTTTTATGCCTTGGGTAAATGATAAGAGGTTTATCCTTCTAGTGAAATACATAACAATTAAATTGATAAAATCTACTAATAGTGAAACTTCAAATGCTAAAATACGCAATACAAAAATGTTACAGCATGCGAAACCAACTAGAGTACCTATTCAAGCACTGGAAGAAAAAGCGTGTTTGGTTTGAAAGCATTGAGGCAAACAAAACTTTGGCATATGCTACATTGAGTCCTTATCTTCTTGGCGTGGTTGTTGGCGAAATGCGACCCTTATCCTTTGCCATTTTCTGGTAACAACATTTGCACGTCGACAATGGTTGCGCGAAAGATCCTTATTCTCCATCAGTTTTCTTTTTCTCCCATGAGTAAATCCGCTTTCTCCATTATGATTCAGCAAGACCTTTACAATCACATATTTAAACTCATTCAGCTGCATCGTAGCGTTTAGGTTGTACAGAAGCCAAGCGTTGACCAAGGCAGTTTGCGTAACTAGACGGAAAAACAGCCTCATGTACCACTTCGCACTCCTTCTCACGAACGGCGTGTAGGCTGTCATCTGGTCACTCATAACCACGAAGCCCTTCATTTTGTTGTAATATTCTATTGTGGCTTCATATTGGTGCTGCAGGCCCATCATGCCTGGTTGGAAGCATAAAAATGTCCCTCTTGTCCTTTTACAGAAGCATTACTCCTTATTGTTCTGTTGAGAAAACGACTGACCTCTGTGGAGCTTCCTGGTCGTCAAAGCGGGAGCAATGCCTTTTCGGTTCTTTCTGATCGTTCCAAGTGAGGTTGGTCCTCCTGGAAGCAGGGAGTCGGCCAAAGGTAAACTTGTGTACCAGTTGTCTGTACAGAGATCCCGTCCTTGGTCCAAATAGCCCTCCATAAGCTCCAGAACCACAGCATCAGGCACACCGCCTACTCTAGTGACATCTCTACCGGCATAAACTTTTTGAGTGTATCCTCCTTTTGAACAGAGTTTGAAGAGTTTGATGCCGTACTTGTACCTCTTCGATTTGTTGAATTGTCTAAAAACGACTCGCCCTCGGAACGGCACCATTGATTCGTCAATACAGAGTTCTCTAGATGGTCTGTACATCTTCTGAAAGGAGCCGTTCAGGGAATCCAATATAGGTTGGATTTTGTAGAGGCGGTTTCCTTCGTCGGCGTTGTCGTTGTCGACAAAATGAAGGCTCGTCAACAAGGTTTCAAATCGAGTTCTGACCATCGCATTCGTGACAGCTGGGTTGCAGTAAATTCCGTCTGTAGACCAGTAGTCACGAAGCTTTGGCAGCCGAACGAGACCCATGTAGAGACAGATGCCGATGAATTGTCTTATCTCTTCCACAGTAGTGTCAGTCCACTCCTTTTTCTTCTCCTTCATCTTCTTGCTACCATACCTGTTTGTCTCCATAACTATGAGATGGAGCAATTCGCCGTTCAGGAGTTGAAAATAGTCAATTGGATTTTCGCAGTTTTCAACGTCCTCGTGTGGTCCGCAATCTTCAGCGAAAACGAATCGTTATATTTCGTGACATCTTCGGTCCAACTTTCTTGTTGCTCTTCTTCTCCTGAACTTTCTTCGCAGTCAGAGTCGTCGTCGTATTCCACAGGTACTATCAACGCTTGGGCGGTTGTGTCATCATTCAGCATAGGCTCATTATCATCGCTGTCGATCAACAGGTGGTCAAAACTAGCATTCAGCTCTGTGAAGTCGCCGTAGGTATCCATTATCATATAGGAGATTTGTTGCTAATCAATGCTTACTCAGGGTATTCACACTGGCGAGACACTGACTCTTCACGTGCTTATCACATGCACGTGGTTTCCCTACTACTATCACACAGTAATTATCATTGAAGCCCTTAAGGATAGCCCAGAAGTCGCAGCATTCGATATCTTTCAATAACGCTCATGATGTCAGCGAGTTTGAGAGGGTGTTTTCAAAAACTGCTCTGTGGGACAATGCGTCCCAATGCTGGGACGCAATTCTCGACAAATGCGAGCGCGCGATGTCCCACGTGGCAGACACGCGAAAAAACGCGTTGTCGTCAATGTGTTAATAGTGAAGGGTGTCTGTTCTGCCAGAGGAATGGTCATCTTCCGATGACATGCACAATTTTAACAGATAAGGCAACTCACAGAAAGATCCTCCAAGAAAGCAAAAGGTGCTGGAAATGTTGCATACCGGCTTTGATTGCGAAGCCTGACTGTATTCAATGCAGTCAAAAACATCACATTTCTGTATGTTACAAGAACAACACAGACACTAGCAGAGCAACCAACAGAAATCAAAATGTGCCGTGGAATCCGCCGCAAAGAATCAGCCAAAACGGACTACACCATTCAAGAGGGAATAACCAAAGAAATACTGAAAATCGCAACGAGAACAGGAGACTAGTTGCAAATAATGTTCAGAATAAAGCAGAAAATAACTAAGTTACTAATACTAATAACTAACCAACACTAATAACTAAGTTGGACTACCAAGGCAGACGACAGAAATTTGCACGATGTCCGGCATTGGTGGCCACATAGAAAAATTCGAAAGTCACATAGTAACCGTTGAAATCGGAACGGCTTTCGGAGAAGAGATGGAGTTAACTATTCAAACAAAGCCTGTCATAACAAACGGCTTCCCCAGCGTCAACCTGGCACCATCCGATATTACTTTCTTGAAGGCGAATAGAATATGTCTCGCCAATTCAAAGCGCCAGTCGACAGGTCGGTAGAAATTCGCCTAATGTTACGGCTGACGAACAGGCTCACGGGTTCCTTCAGCCAATTCGAAACGCGAACTTACTAAAAATGTTGTGAACCTAGGCCGGAGAACTCGGAATTTCTCACGGCTCGCACACATATCAACACGACGAAAATGTCTACAAGATACTTTAGGACATACTCCGCACACACACACTCACTCTCTCGACGACGGCCACATCACCGCGCCTTTTCCATAAAGGAAACATTTGCTCAGAACTGGACAGAACAATTATCGGCCATCTCCAGCAACTAGAAATGAACCACTCATCCCGACAATTCGCTACCTCGCGAATTCCGAGCAGTTGCACGTCTCGTCGGTGACTCTCACTCTGTATATATGAATATTCCGATCTAAGGGAGGAATGATACGAAATTTTCTCTTCTCGCACAGGATGCTGTTGGGACATATTATATTCCGCCGAAGCATTTTGCAAAAAGTGCAAAAGACTCCACCGGACTCGTCTTGGATTCGTCTTTCAAAAGAAGATGAAAACTCTCGCTGAAGGCTCAATTCAGCAACGCACACACTCTTGTACAATGAAATACACGATATCTTTGCCTGACATCCTCGAAACACGACAAAACCATTTCTAATCTCTGTGCACATTGAAGCGGAGTTTCGCAGATCCGTTTGCTGACCAAAGATCTATGCAGCTTCCTATGGTTAAAAGATGTGAACCCACCTCCTACGAGGGACAACCTTATTCACCACAGATTCAGTAAGACTCCCATTAGAGTTGACTTCGCTCGCCCCAGTGGTTCTTTAAAACTGGGCCACTCTCGCATTTCTCGCGCACATCAAATGCCTACGAAATTAGCCAGTGAAACCGCCAATCAATTTATATGTAGGCAGATATTCTGCACTTGTGCAAGCGAGATCAATAAAAGAAGTCCCATTCAAAATAACGAGAGCTCCAACAGCAATGTTTGCTCAGAATATGGGCAGTGAACTTTACATATATACAAACTCAGAGCGAGTAAACAAAAGTTCCGACAAGAAGCATAGACTGAAGTTCCTTCCTGGCCGTAAAGTACGTTTAGGTGCGGGAATACGAGGTGGAACTAGTGACATTTTCAAACGCGTTTCAATGGTTTACGCCAATTCAAAAAACTTAAAGGCACATCTCCGCGATAAAATATAAGGGCTATAGGCGACTTCCTCAAAATGTGATCGGACGATCCGCCCCGAAGACGAATTTTGAGCTGCGTACTTTCAAAATGTGGGAAAACGGCCACAGAACTCCGCCAGAAAGCTGACTAATTGAGCGCCCATGGAACCCTTTAGGCTCCCGATTGCCGACCTCACCGGCTGCTAGTCTAGCTAGTAGCCACTATGTTATCTTTTCCGTCCAGCGTATACCACTTCGGCACTCTTTTCTGCTGCTTTTCTCCGCCTCACTAATAATCTCACCGATTTTCTCCGTCGCCCTGAATTTGAGTTTCCGCCTCTCTCCGCCGACTTTGCAGGTCCGCGAACTGTTGCCTTTAAAGCGGCATGAACCTTACAGAATACGTTTCAAACTCTAAAGAAGTGAACCAACAAATTCCAAAAGAAGATAGACTGGAGTCCTCCAGCATAAAAGTACTAGGTGTTGAATACAAGGTGGAAAGTGACACTTTTCAAGCCGTTACATGTTTCCGCCAATTCAAAAACTTAACCAAAAAAGACGTTGTGAGCCAAATTAATTCAGTTTACGATCCTATTGGGATAGCAGGCCCGTTATTGGTCCATTTGAAATCAATGATGAGAGAGATATTCGATTCGGGGATCGGTTGGAAAACAAACCTCAATCCGAAAATACTTCTAAGGTGGAATCAGTTGTGCACCACCTGTCAATGGAGCTATCATATCACTACTACGACAGGTCACCACGATCTCAGGTGCGAAGATGCGCCTGTGGGCATTCGCAGATGCGAGCAACTTAGCCATTGCGACCTGTGCCTACGGGCAAGATGTCCTATCAAGGTCAATATCCAGCCTAATTAGTGGGAAAACACGGCTAACACCAAAGAAATGCCGACAAACTATCCCAAGGCTAGAACTAATCGCAGTACTGATGGTCAATGCGCCTTATTAACTCCATTATTTCGAACTTTCTGAAGTCATGCATCACGGTTGACACAATATCAATTGTAACAGACAGCGAAATCGCACTGTGGTGGTTGAAATCTAGCAAAAAACTACCTATTTTTCGTCGCCAATACGCGTGATCGAATAATGAATATTAAAACAGCTATAGAATCAAAGGGAATTCCATTATCCTTCTACCATGTGACTGCATCTCACAACCCTGCTGATGCAGGTACAAGAGGACTAACTGCTGAAAATATCAACAAGCAGTGACTGGGTTCGCGGTCCAAAGTGGGTTGAAAGAAACCCCGCCACATGGCCAATAAGATCCATAGATTATATCTCCGAAATACCAATAGAAAATGAGGAAGAATCGCCACCATTGATGAGTAATTTAGTACAAACCAGCAAAAATTCCCCCCAGCTCATCGATTTGACGAGGTTCTCGAGTCTGGAAAAAGCACAACGAGTAGTATCTATTGGTAAAACGGTGTCAAACTGGATCTCAACTGACGAATAGAAAACGTCAGACAAAGATAGAACCCTCGGTCGTCTCAAAATTCGGCACAGCCATAGAGATATCATCGGTCGAAATGAAGTTATCAGAACGAATTATTCCACTCCAAGAGCAGCGTCACGAGGATATGAAAGCGTTAGAAGCGATTTCTTGTCACTCGTCATCATTCGCGCTTGCAGAATGCAGCAATTCCACAAATACCAAATCGCCGTATATATTCCAACAAAATCGGAATTCTTGCGCTTAATCGTGCAGCAAATCCATAAGGACAATGCGCAT